GACTTATAAATTAACAAGCGGCCGCCCGCGACTTCTTTTGCGCTAACTTTAGTTTTTTTTTGAGAACCGGATATTTTACCGGGATAAAAAATATCCTTTGTCTCAATCCAGGTTATAAACTACATGCATACCAAATTCCATCCAATTCCGTTCAGTAGTTTTTGCGAGATTGAGTAACAAACACACAAACATAGAAGCTTTAATATGTACAAAATTAGAAAGATTAAGTCATCTCAATGCAGCCGTTAGAGACATTTTTATCACATTGCCAACATTCTCACTTCAACCCTGAATCGCATTTCTATTCGGGCCGGTAAAGCGGCCCCTCTTTGAGAGGCTTCCCTGTCCGTGACAATGTATGTAGGTTGACACCAATACCTACAGACTGGTACGCTCCAGGCGCATTGTTAGCAACAAACGACAATATCACGACTCACATCTCCCACTTCGTTCGATGGAAATAGGTCAAAAGATAAGATACACACACTCGGTACCTTACCTATGTGTATTCAGGATGATTGCTGATACTATTTCGTTAATGTATTAAAATAAAAATGATGTTGTTTTTTTTAGTTTAGGTGAAAAATCTATTTTGTTATAAAATTTCGAGTAAATTTTGATTTAGGTACTTGTCACACCGCCGACGATGAACGAGAAGTGAGTAGAGCTTGAAACCAGAGACGAGTTGACGAGCAGCGGGACAGCGGGAAGCGTGTGTGTAGTTCCGATAGTTTTATCGCTGGACTGTAAGCACAGTTATATGTGAGTTGTGAGCAAATGCTCATAACTTGACCAAAACTTGGTTCCGATTGCGTCTTAGCTCTCCGGTTCGATTGTTTGATGTCGCGTCCTTTGATTGGCTATTATCTGTTAGGTGGTAGTGTGGTGGGGGTGAGCCGGCGATATCGGTTCCCGTACAAACGGTCTATGAGCACTCTTCTAACCTCTTTCTGTGTTCTGTGACTATAAGCAAGTGAGCGAGTACGAAGTGTGATTACTCACGCCACTCGCTCGCGGAGACAATCCTAAGCATGCACGAGCGCGCGTTTTGAGACAAGCGAGCATGGCTAAACCAGTATGGCTAAGAGAGTATCTCTTATCTATTAGACAAGTCCGTCTGTCTGTGGTGCTGTTTCAGCGGCCAAACCGTAAGAGATAGATAAAGAGAATATTTAAGTTATAAGTTAAGAATAGTCTGATAAGACTACAAACCGGATTTGAGTAACGTAGCACTTCCGGTTTTCGAGAAATCACGAATTTCAAACGAAACCACACAAAATCTCCGAAGTTCTCAATTAATTAAATACATTTTTTTTTTAAATCAGGTTTTGGTGAACATTTGGTTCACTGGTTTGCTAGTTATCTTTAATAGCTCTTGTCGACAAACTAAGTAGTGAAGAGAGTTCTCACCGACAGTGCGAATAGTAAGTGATGAAGTTTTGATATATGGATCTCTTTTGTTTACACGGAACGAGAATGTATTGTACGTTTCTTGAGCGAGAAAATAGCCGATAGTTACGGTTCCTTGCTGGCGGTAGGACAACTGCCTTACCTACGAAGAATATCTATTACTATTGTTCTATTTCATTGGCGTATGACTGGAAATGCATTGCAATTAAACTTTAATAATAAAAAAACTAATAAAGACCTCTACGTACCAGAGTTTCCTCCGTATTAGAACAAAGTTTGAAATGAAATTTTGTTTTGACTGTATTACTATATTCTGTCTGGTAGCATATAACGTCAACTCAATCACTATGGCAAGTGTCATTAATTAGTCACATCATGCGTGATATTCGTGAAATATTGGTTAACTTATTATACCAATGTATGATTAATTCTTCTTGAAATAAAATACCGACAAAATACCTGACTGGGAATGTAATGAAGATAAACAGAATAATTATCTCTGCTTTAGTTAAATAATGAATAGAATATATTCGATGCTTTGTTGTAACTTGTTATTTGCCAAACAATAACTACATAATTTTATATTATAATAACTATTAAAAAAACTACTAAAAGAAAATATTTGTTTTTTTAGGTTTTCACGCACATCACTCGAAACTTCATTTCAAAATAAAGTTTCGTGCATTAACCCGTTAAAACTAGTTTTATTTACTAAACTAAATTCTATTTCAAATTATATATATTTTGTCGCTGTCGGAAACTAACTTAGAACCATCTCCTTTTCTGAAGTACCGTTTCTGTTTAACGTACGTGCGCGTAATCTTTTGACCTCTTACTTTCATTGTTTGTTGATGCGATAACGTAACGCACCGAGCCTGAAGTTCTATTCTGAGCGAGAACGCGCGAAAACAGAGTCAAGGAGAATAAAATATTCAAGCGCTAAGTATTTTTTAATGCTGGTCACTATATACTTTCCCGTCATAAAATCGTGGATTTTGATTTGACAATCAAGTGTCGATAAACCGTTACATCATTCCCCGTAGCATGAGCACCACAATTTACATTACATCACGATTTTTTATCGCGTCTATAGGAAGACCGCTTAACTGAGTCCTCGCCTGCGGGGTAAAGGGTGTGGGGAAAAACGAGAACGGGGACCGTGAGAGGTCGGGCGGCAGGCACATTCTTGTCAAGCCCCCCCACGACAAAGGCTAACTAAAGCCGAGGTCCGAGTCTCAGAGACGCCCTCTAGTTGAGCCGACCCCCTCAGGTTCGAGCGCTCTAGAGGCTCCAGACAGAGAGGAGACTCATCCCGCGGGGAGATGCCATCCGCCTGGAATAACTCTAGGGGCATTCGCCATTTCTTGGCTTGAGGTCCCCTTAGGATCTCGCCGTCCCCAAACCCGGTGACGCTGTAAAGGTCATCTGCGACCAACAGTCAAACTCCATTGAAAGGACAATGTTAAAATTGGCCTACGAACCAACACCAATTTGGCATTTATGATAATTCTTAGTATATTTTTTGCGATAATTATCAGTATTTAGATTGTCACGGACACTTCCAGTTAAGTAAGCTAAATTAAAAAGTTAAAAAATAATCTGAGACAATAAATACCATTTTATGTGTATAATCTATGACAGCGCTGCAAATAAAACACTCTTTATTCCTAATGCCGGCACTTCACTAGGCTATTCGTATTTGCTGTTTGAAAACTTGACAACAGTCTGTCCTTTTCATTCCTTATTAAGCATGACAAGGACAAACTCTTGTTAAGTGAAGGGCCGGCATAAAACTCGTTACTCTGTGGTTGTGGTGCAGGCAGTTTGCATTCGTAGTAATCTGTGGCATTCGTGCATTCTCGTTTCGGATTACCTGTTGTGTGTGTTTATTTGCGATTGTTTTTCCTTTAATTTAACTATTTCGGCTATCTAATATGCCATCGATGTAACAAAAGAGTAGAGACCTTATTACCAAGTGCTAGTGAATCTGTGCCACTACATCCTGAGAGGATCATACTGCTAAATTATTCAAGAGCACCTGATACACATCGACGCTGCATATTTACACAATTATACAAATACCTACATGTGATATACAAATAAATACAATATACAATATGATAAAATTATGTGGAAAATAGTCAATAAATAAGAAGTTTTTATTTTATTCATGATTCCTACCTAACCAAGTTTTTCCTAATAGTTATTCTTTAAAATAGCACTGAATAAAATGAATTAGTTGTTATATTAATTCACTTCATACTGAGTTCATAGGTACTAATACTAACTTTATAGGTTGACCTATGTTTCATTGAATATTAAATATAACCTCAATTTTTTTTTTGTTTTCCTAATAATTTAAGTTCTCAGAAGTGTCCGTCAATAATTCTTGTTTTTATAGTCATTAACTTGCGATTTCGAACCTAGAAACTAATATTTCATGATTGTTGGTTCTTAGGCTAACTATGTATGGACGCAGAACAATGTCCTTTGACAATTGAGCGTGATAAAAACGCGTTATATATCATATCGCGGTGCTCATGCTAGGGGGGTTGTTCGTATTTCAGTGGACATGCAAGAGGTGTGTAGTGTAATAAGTCCGCTGCTTACAAAACTTTAATTTCATACACACACTTTTGAAGCCAATGAAATCATTAAATTCTTTACTCTCACCTTATCAATCGTTGCAAAGATCCTATAAGAAATTCATACATATTTCTTATGCTCTTTATAGTCTACAGCGCTCCGGCTTACTGTGATAACGATTTCTTCAAGAACAAAGAGATTTGGTAACATTTTTCTTTTTTGTACTATTTGCAAGTGAAATTCTTTACCCGTGAACGTGTTCCCTCCTTCATACAATACGAGGTCCTTTAATAGAGGCGTAAAGAATCATTCCTGCATATCTTGTTCATAACTGCTGCAACAGCTACCTTCGTGTGTGGACTTTACATCAGGTGGAGGAGTCATTAGCCTACCTAAGAACCAAAAATGCCTGCTAAAGGCATGACGCCTTCCCTACCGGGGGTTGCAACGAGAATATGTGAGAAATCTTCCTCTTCCCTTTATATTCCCCACTCATTTCGTCCAACTCATGAGCTCAGCGACTGGAGCCTGGTCCTACCCACTAAAACCACAGACAATACTCCTGCACCGTTGACCTGACACGCACTCTATGGATCGAAGTCCCTCAAGTGCCTGCCGAGTGTGCGGGCCGTAACGTTCCGTTAGGACTGGTCCGGACAGCTAAGATAATTATAAAAAGTGTGTTCTGAATCACGAGAAAACTGTCTGTTTTGTAAAGTAGCTAACAGTCCACCTGATGGTGAGTGGTCACTGCTGCCGATGGACATTTGCAGCACCAAGAACACCACTCATGTGTTGCCTGTACTCTGTTTACGCGCCTTTTGAAGACCATCAAATTATATCTTAAAGGGAAAACTACTGAGGGAAGTTCGTTCCATATCTTACTGGTAAGCAAGAAAAGAAAACGTGCGTAACGCATAGTGCAAGAACGCCAAGCGTCCAGATGCTGGTGTTGAAACTAATATCTGCTCTCCCTTCTATCTTATATTCTAGTCTGTACCTACCTTCGAATATGTTCTGGATGATGAGGTAGCTCTGTGTGACGACGATGAGCAGGGCGACGTGCGTCCACGCGAACAGGCTGAACTGTCGCATATAGTAGCGCTTCACGAGCGACAGCACGAACCACACGAAACCCACGCAGTACAGACTGAACGAGATGAACCGGTGGTAGGTCACCAGAAACTTGAGGTAATCCTGTTGGCAAATTCACAAGTATACAGTGCAGCCTTTCTCAAATATACATAATATAGCATTTGACAACCTCCGTAACTAGAGTGGTTAGTACAACGGTTTTCAAGGTGTCGCCTACTCCTGGTTTCGTATCCGGGCGGGGAAAATGTTTATATGATAAACACCACCATTTGCACTTAAGTCAAGCTTCTTATATAAACTCGGCGTCAAAAAAAATGCACCTATGCGTAAATTACTTTCAAGCTTAAACTATGATAAAATAGAACATCACAATTCATCATGATTTGTTAAATAATATAATTACTCCCTAGTGCATTGTATCTTGTATCGTAACGTAACCCAGATAAGAACTCGACTAGGATGCGATCCCCTAGCTTGACCACCGCAATAACAATTAATACATAACTGTCGAGGAGCTCGATGGCGCAGGTGGTTAGCGCGTTCGGCTGCGATCGTTGTAGTTAAGCAACTTTCGCAGTGGTCGGTCATTGGATGGGTGACCAAAAATTTTTCTATCTCGAGTTCCTCCGTGCTTCGGAAGGCACGTTAAGCCGTTGATCCCGGTTGCATCTGCAGTCGTTAGCACCCGCCAATCCGCACTGGGCCCACGTGGTGGGTCATGGCCCAATCTCCCTATTCCATCCATAGGGAATGCCCCAGCAGTGGGGACATTAAGAGGCAGATGATGATGATGACATAACTGTCAAGCAGCAGTATGATTTGAATTTACTGATTCGACTGTCATTTATGTTGTCTATAAATCGTTGTATGGTATTGTGTTGCTCAGTGGTCATGGAGCTGAAATCTTAATAGTCATGCAATTAAAAATAAACGTATCTGCGCGAAACTCAGAAGCATAACAAAAACATTTAATGCGTACCTACCTAACACAAAAACGGGTAATTAGATTGAAATGTAATCAAGAAGACCTCAATAGCTGAACTATAGTTAAGTAGATTTGATTAATGAACCAATTAAGTTGCGATATCAAGGCCATGACAGTGAATACACTTGCACTTCAAATTTCGCTTTTATTGCTGAGTAAGAAAGGCGTTGTCTAATGTCACATTGTATCTACCAATGTGTTCTATACTACCTCATCATCATCAACCTATTAATGTCCCCACTGCTGGGGCACAGGCCTTCCCTATGGATGGAATAATACAGTTTAATCAAGTGTTTAATCCAAGTCCGTTTTATGACAATTTATGTCATTATGTTTTTTGCTAAAATATTTCTGATACGTTTTTAGATCATTATCACCATTACATCCGAATCTGAACGCATGAGCGGATGGTTTGAACGCGTTGTATCACTCACTGACTCCATTTACGTGTCTGTTATGAAATTTAAATAATATGACAAAAAAAAGTTATAACCACATACTCTTAGGGCAGAGAACATCAGAAGGATTTTGTGCTGGCCTCTATAGTTTTAAAGCATATAGATACTATTAGTCTATCTAATAGCGAAATCCTATGTAATATTGATGCTCTTTGCCAGAATTAACAGAATTAAATAGACGATTCAGGATATTGTATTAAAAATGATTCAGTGCAAAGTTACTTTATTTTTATTATATATATAATATTAGGTTATTCACAACATCAGTAATAAATCGTCATAGTGACGTAACGAATCAGTCGATGGAACGTCAGACATTCGTCATGTCGCATGATGAATTGAATCCATATTATCAATTAATGATAAGTAAGTACTACGTAATACAATTAATCATGATCATGACCGTGTTGCAAAATAGTCTCCGATATTCGTCTCCGAAGACGTAAATACACTGAGTATATCAGTTATTTTTTAAAAACAGTCTCCTACACAAACGTTCATCCCCCTTTTTCCCAGAAATCACAATTCAAACCTCCTCTTAAAAAGATTTTAAGGGGGTGAGATTTAGATAAAAACTATCTTTTTGTCCTTTCCCGAGTTTAAAACTATATCTACCCCACCTAAATTTCATACAAATCGGTTCAGAGGTTTAAGCTTGAAGAGGTAACAGGCAGACGGAAAGACAAACTTCCGCATTTATAATATTAGCATGTATAGAAGTAATATATATTATATTATATGTAAATATTTATATTGGATTGTTACTGATGATTAATGTTTTGAATTTTATAAATATGTTCATTAAATAGATTTATATCCTTTGTGTTTTTATGTCTTTTACAATGTTACTTTATTACACGACTGTACTTTACCGTTCCAAAAGAATTAGCCAAATAGTTAAGAGCTCCATCCAATAGGTCCCATAGGAAAGTCCAACGGGTAGTAGACCAAAAATATTCGCATGTGATGTAAGTTCAGATTCACCGATTCGAATAGCCATGACTTATAAAAGCTACGAACATATGGCCCCAACGCGATTCGAGCCTAGGACTAATTTTTTTTTTAATACTATTACTCCATAGGCGTATGCCCATGCCATTATTTAGTTTGACTTTTTTTAAGTTTTGTTATATACATTTGTTTGTGCACTCAGTGCGGCCTTTTATATTTAATCATGCAAACATGCGGCATGCTCACTTATGTCTACTTAACTAATAGAATTTGGACATATTGTCCATCGCCTTTTTAATGAATATTCTATTATATGTATACGCTTTATTTTTATTTTTTCACTTATTATCTATTGTACATGCTTTGTGGACTAATTTCTTTTACTTACGTGAATTTAGGTTTCGGAAACGTAATAAAACTCGAGATTGAAATGCATCGTCATATTAATAGCAACAAAAGCTAATGCTTTCGTTAATTCTCTATTACAGTGTCCTTTATAAAGCACTTAGAGTTTTTTGCTATTACTTAATTCAATTATGGTAAGTTCTTCGCGTGTTATCAAACCAATCTTGATAATGGCTTCCTTGAACATTTACGAAATAATTTATATAATAAAAACACGATATTTTATTAGTAAATCAACACTTTATTGGCACTAAAAACATGGTACGACATGACAAATTAAAATACACAAAATTTTATATTGTAAATCATCATTGTATTTATGTAAAATCTGACTTACTTACGACCTATAACAAGATATTTTATAAAACATGAATTTCTCTTTTTATGACAGTTTTTTTATGGAAGGGTAAATCAGACCACTTACGTGAAAAATATATTTCATACAAAATTTTGGTATTTTAGACCACCACAACAGCAGTTAAAACATAAGTTGCTCTTTTATTTCGCTTTCTCAGCTTGACTCGCCCTATTAGGTGCAAGAACTTGTATTAACTTTGTCTTTGCTAGTGAAGAGCGGACGCGAGCTGAGAGAAATTTGGGAAATAGGTATTTGAAAAAAACTATTGTTGCCACGCATTGACAAATACGTTGAGATAGGCACAACAGTGGTTAACGCTGAAAACTGCGTATAAAAATTGCAAAATTCGAAGTTTGGCTCTCAACGATTTCCTCCTCGAAAATAAGATACATGTAAAAGAAATTTTACCCATACGAGACATATAAATAATAAGTAGATATTCTATATTTCTACGCCTCAATTTTTTGCTTTTTTGTATATGCTTATTAAATGTCCACTGTAGATGTTTTTAGCGGTGATAAAAATGTTTATTTTTGGCATTTTTGAAGGCTTCTAGTTTCTTTGAAACACAAGTTATCGAAAAAAGGAAGAAAAAAGTATAGAATAAGTAAAATTATATATTATGTATGAAAATCAATTCTTCAGTGATAAAATCAAGGAGGAAAAAACATTGCCCGCCTCCCCTCTTAAGGTCGTAGCGTAGAAAATATATCTACTCGGAAAATAAATCGCCACAGTATCAACCCGAGCCATTCAGTATTCTTTGTATGAAACTCCCTACTGCAACACACACTAATCGGAATCGTATCGTAATCGCCTCGCCTCAAGGCTAGCTCATGTTTATGAGGCGATTTCGGTCATTCCTAAAGTTGCTTTACTTCCACAATCGTATATCGAAAAGGCTTAAGCCCTTTCGATACATATTATTTCATGTAAACGTTACGATTCCGATAAGTGTGCGTCGCATTATGAAATTTCATGCAAAGAATACTGGTCGGCTCGAATTGATTCGATGACGATCTCTTGCCGAGTTGATATATTTGCTACGACCTTTAAACGGACTTCGTAAATGCACTGACAGTTGCTATAGTAAAGGGAGGGGCAGAATGTTGCAAAGCGGAAGTACTACCTACTGCTTAAGAAAGGCTAGAGAAAATTCGACACGACCATCAGAGCCGCGGTAGCATAATTGCCGGTGCATTTCATGTAGTAAAATTTTCTTTAGATTTAAACATCTAGCAGTTACATGCTTAAAAAAAACGAATATATGTGTCAGGGAGTATAGTTCTGCCGTCCTCAAGCTAAAACGCGGCTAAATGACAAAACCCACTTTTGAGATATGGCCAAAAAAACAACGTGTAAACTTTAAATTATTGCTATTTTGTAACCATTCATCACATGACGGATTTTTAGACCTAAATTATAAAAGATACGAATACTTGTTAAAGACAGATCGATAGAGAATTAAAAACTGTATAAGATGCAATTTAAGACTGAAAAATCAACCCAATGTCACTTATCCGCGCTTTAGTTTCAGAACGGCAGAGTTACGAACTGCATACATAAGTCGCTCTGATCGAAATTCAAGAATTAAAACCAAAATTGCTTTTGCCCCGATAAGATAAGCAAGCGGCTTATCGATGAAAGTAGATAAGAGGTACTTGAACTTAGTCGTGGCATTTATCACGCCGGTGTGTTTCGGAGCCGATCGTCTAGACGACGTGACAACACTACCCTATCATTATTAATTAGATAATTAGCAATGAACAAAATGTTACATCGAAAATCGCTTCTGAATTTCTTTGATAAATATAGAATTCAGAAGCTGACCCTGATTTTTAGGGTTAGGTAACTTAAAAGGAAAAAAAGGAACCCTTATAGGATCACTTTGTTGTCCGTCCGTCCGTCTGTCAAGACCGTTTTTCTCAGAAACGCGTGGAGTGGA